CTGGGGCTGGACAGGGCAGCCATGGGGGAGGGGGCTGGGAGAGCGGGCAGGTGGTGGGGGCTTGTGGCAGAGCCCCCCATGAAGCATGGGGCAGTGGGGATTGCCCCCCGCCCCCCACCGCCTGGCAGTAGCCAGTGATTGGGGGCTTTTTTTTTTAAAAAGTCGAGATCTGGGGCCAGCTGGGGCAGCCATGAGGGAGGCTGGGAGAGTGGGCAGGGGTTGGGGGGCACACAGGGGGCTGGGGGAGCAGGCAGGGGATTGTGCCTGCCAGGGGTCCCCCCATGGTCCCCTTCTTCAGCCCCCCCCCCATCCTCTACTTACAAGCACATAGTCCAGGTCCAGCTCCCTGCAGCAGTGAGCGAGGACTGCCTGAATCAATTCAGAGAGCTTTGAATCAATTCAGACGTTTTTTTTGATCTCCTGATTCAATTAGGATTCAGAGATCTGGCCGCCAAATTGGGCCGAATCTCCTCTGAATCAAATCAGCACCCAAAGCTTTGCGCAGCCCTACCAGTGACTGCTGAGTGAGTGTGGAGGAAGTGTTTAGGTCTTCCTGATTCCTGCATTTGGTGTCTGTTCCCCAGCTCCCTCCTTTTCCCAGTGTCTAGAGGGTAATTTGAGACATTTTAGCAGCTTCAGGCATTGCCCCAGGCTGTCTGTTCTGTTCCTACCAACATGGCACAGCCACATGTTATCTGATGGCAGTGGTAGAGCCCCTTTGGAGTTGCTTGTTCTGAAGAAGTCTCTTGGGCAGCACACGGCCTGGGATGCCCACCTGACTAGCTGGCACTGTTAGGTGAAGGGAAGTTGTACATATCCACTCCTGCTAATTCAGAGTCAGTTGAATCTTGTGGGTCCTGCTGACTGCCCTGTTAGCAGTGCTGACTCCATTATTGTATTTGTCCACTGCAGTGACACAAGTGCCAACTAATGTTTTTGACCTGCTCAGAGGCCTGGATTCAGCAGGTGTGAAGTGGATTAGAGTGCCACTGGTGTCTCTCAGATCCACTCCCTCTGGATCAGAGGCAGGCTTGGGGCTGTGGCCAAAGCAACTCATTTCAAGACAGCTTGGTGCTCCTGAGTACAGTGACACTCTGAATTATATAGACCAGTGGTGAGCAAAATACAGCCCGTGGACTGAATGCGGCCCACGAGGCCATTGTATCTGGCTCGTGGGGCACCTAAAAAATTTAGAAAATTAATATTTATCTGCCCTTGGTTCCTGTTAAAAATTACAGGAACCAAGGGCAGTATGACCCAGGGGAAGCCTAGTGGGCTCCCACAGCAGCAGGACCTGCCTGACCCCACACCCCAGCCGGAAGCCCCAGTTGGGGCTTCTGGCTTGGGAGCACGTGGCTGCCCCATGCCAGAACCACAGGTACAGGGGAAGGAGCGGGGGAGGACCCTGGGCAGGGAAGGAGCCCGGGAAAACGCTGAGCGTGGTGTGGGGGAAAAGTGGCCCCTCGCCCACCCCATGGCCAGCACTCCATGCTGCAGCTGCTAGCAGCCCACATGGGGCTGCCTGTGCCTGCTCCGGACAACCCTACCCAGGCTGTGAGCGGCTGCAGCAGGGAGTGCCGGCCATGGGGCAGGAGAGGGGCTGCTTCTCCCCCCCCTCAGCTTTTCCCCTGGCTCCTTCCCGGCGTGGAGGAAAGTGGCTCTTCCCCCATCCCATGGCTGGTGCCCTGTGTTGCAGCCACTCACAGCCTGCATGGGGCTGCCTGTGCCTGCTCCGGACAACCCTACCCAGGCTGTGAGCGGCTGCAGCAGGGAGTGCCGGCCATGGGGCAGGAGAGGGGCTGCTTTTCCCCCCCTGCACTCAGCACCACCTTGTAACCCAGCCCCGGTGCCAACCTGGGCCCCGCACCAGCTCTGGGCTCACCCGCTGGGGCTGTGTGTGGTGACAACAGCTGCAGCCCCCCAACTGGTGCTGGCCCTGGGACATTGGTCCCAAGATGGTGCCCAGGGGGCAGGGCACCTGTCAAGGGGTGGGGCTACCCATGCGGCCCTCAACAGCCTGCCAAAACTGGGTAAGCGGCCCTCTGCCTGAAATAATTGCCCACCCCTGATATAGACATTCCTGAATGTGCGACAGCCCCACTGCCTGTGTGGAGCAGGCAGGGAAGATCTAGTCCATGATCTGCAGACCTATGCCCTCCCACACAAAGGAGATCACTCTCTATGAGAGTGCATGGACTGCTTAAGAGGCATTACAAAGTTACCTGTCCCAAGTTGCCCTCTTGGCTTTCCATTTCAGGATCCTCCACTGGCTGCCGGGTCATGGGAGACCTTAGTTCATAGCACCAATGCATTGCTGTCCCCAGCTGTAGCATTTCCTGCAGACTGAAGCATGTCTGGCTTTGCTGGAAGACCAAGGAGTACCCACCAAGCAATTAATCCAATTGAGAGTAAGCAGCCTGCAAAGTCCAGGCCAAGCTTTAGATTGACTGGGAACCAGCTTGCAAGAGCAGATCTGATAGCAACCAGCCCTCCTCAAGCTTCTCTACGGTCCCACTGCACTCCTGTCAGCAAGGGCATCCCTGAGGAAAGCAGTGGCAGCTGCAGGTGTTGTATGTGGCTGTGTCACTCTTAGTCATGTTTCTGAAACTAGCTTCCAAAGCCTGGAGCACAGTGGCCCTGGGGTATATGGGAAGCAGGGCAGGAGAGATGCCACATCTGTCTGGGAGCCACCAAAAAACCCTGTTGTGGCTGGGGCACAGGAACGTTGTTTCCGTGATTTTTGCTCCCAGTTCCACCATGGGATTGTCAGCTCTCTGTCACGTCCAGCAGGACTGCGGACACTGAGCTCATTTTAAAACTACTGAGATGCCCCTGGGGGCCTGGCAGGGGAGTAGAAGGGGATGTGTGGTCTTAGATCTTCCACATTTTGCTGTTTGCAAACATGACCCAACACCATTAGTCCTTCTGATATCATGTCATTTCACAGCAGCTCACACTCAACTCATTGATGGTGGTGCTGGATTTCCATGGTGTGGCATTGACACACATTTTGGGGTAGAGGCAGATGTGGAAGGGGATACCACAATGGGGTCCTTTGTCCCTACTTTCCCAGATGCATCCTGCCTGGATAAGGTGGAGCTGCTCCCAAGTACCAGCAAAGCAGGCCACCCCTCTGTGGCCATATCTGATCCCTTTGGCAGGAAACATGAGGATCTACCGCACAGCACCTGTCGACTCCAAACTCAGGCAGGCTTACTAACATCTGGAGCTCCAGCAGCGTGAATATCCCTGTGCCCTCTGCAGGTGACTGCAGCATATTTCTATTGTAAAGAGTTTTATAAATTGTTGGTGTTTTTTATTGTTTTGTTTTGTTTTGGGGTTTTTTTAAAAAAAAAAAATAATTCTTGCTCCAAAGATTGTAAATATATAAATGTGGAGGATGTACTAATTTTCCCATGTGATCTAGACTGTATATACTGTAAATCTAGATGGTGGATTTTAAACAGACTGAAAAATGTGTAAGGAAAAAGCTGTTTACTAAAAGATAGTGACACATGTACATGCGTGGATAAAGTTATTTTTCAAAAAGCATTGTCTGGCTTGGGGCCTTTTTCATGGAAGTTTTTTGTACATACAGATGAGAGCACTTGGCCTGTGTCTGTCTGTACTGCTTTCAAGTCAGATGCCAGTCGTGGAAGGTGTCTCCTGCTAACTGACAGGCCTTGCATGCAGCAGGGTAAACAGCTGAGCTGTCCTTTGCACAAAATACATCCAGTGGGTTTTTTAATTGTACAGGTGAATCAAGTGGCAAAAAGGCGATTGTGCCATTACTTTCTAGGGCAGCATGCATGTTCCCTGTCTTCCTCGGGGAGGCAGGGGTAGGAATCGCCCCAGGAAGGAGCCAGCATTATGTGGAAGGGGCTGGAAAAATGCCAAATGTATCTTCCCAAAATGTCATGGAACAAATTTATCACACAGCTGAAGTTGTTTAAATCTAATGATGCCTAGAAGGGAGGTGCTGCTTCATCTGGGACTTTGTTGGGGCTGGGGTCACCTTTGTTCTGAGTTGTAATGCACGGACCAGACTGGGGCTCTTAGGAGGGAATACAATAATGACATCCCAGCTGGAGGCTGAACTGACTCCCGGTGTTGTGCTCCAACACTGGGTGACTTCTCTCTGGTACCTCACTGAGCTGGACTTAAATTACCAGTGCAGGTGTTTAACTGCATGGTGGAAGGAGGTTGTGTGGTTATTGTGAAAGGTCTGTTGCATGGCGTTTCTGAGCATGCAGCAGGTGCTGGTGGGGACATCCCAGCCTGTGCTCTATGGCAGGGTGAGATTGCTGAGAGTTGCATAGCACTGGCTTTTCTTCTGACTTCCAGCTGCAAAGAGGACACAAACATAAAAGGAAAAGTCATGTGGGCTAAGCTTCCAAATCCAGAACCAAGACCCAACAGTTCCTGATTCCTTCGAGGTGCTGCCCTTGCCAGGTAGTTGTGTGCATGTGCAGTAGGACTTCTCCCCAAGCAAGTCCCATGGTAAGGCAGTGTGCTGGTAGGTGCTGGTGGGTATTGGTGGGGTGTCAGGGTTGGGTGCTGGAGATGGGAGGGTGGAAGGGTCCGCCCAACATGACTGCAAGTGCAGGTGTAGCAGGGTGATGGCCCCAGGCCAATCCCTCTATGGCAGTTCTCTCTATAGTGGGCAAAAAAGAGACCCCTGAACTCACTGAAAATGGGTGTAGTTTTAACCCGCTTAGCCCTGACCTGCATGGAGGTGCACCTGTGTGAGCACTTACAGCTGCTCCAGTGTCTCAAATTGGTTCAGCATATGCAGGTCAGTACTCAAAGTCTCTTCCAAACCAAATGAAGCTGAATTTTTGAAGTGAAAACAGCTGTTATAAACTGCCTTCAGTTAACCTAATCTACTGTCCTCTAGAACCAATACGAGTGTCCATATGCATTTGTG